CTAAAATTCCTAAGAGACATGTAAAAACTCATGCCCGGAGGGGCGGGGGGCAATATGCACCTGGCGCGTGCGCACGGGACACGTGTTTTCACGTGTCCACGGCCCTAGCTGGTTCTTTGGATGTAAGAATGCGTGCTCGGAGGGGCGGGGGGTCCAACATGCGCCTGGCGCGTGTGCGCGGGGCACGTGTCCTCACGTATGGACGAGCGACACACAGGGACACGATGCGAGATGATGATGATGATGGTGGTGATGATGATGATGCTGATGCTGATGCTGATGCTGATGCTGATGCTGATGCTGATGATGATGCTGATGCTGATGCTGATGCTGATGCTGATGACGATGACGATGACGATGATGATGATGATGATGATGATGATGATGATGATGATGATGATGATGACGACGATGATGATGATGATGATGGTGATGACGATGATGATGATGATGATGATGATGATGATGATGATGATGATGATGATGATTATGGTTATGATTATGATTATGATTATGATTATGATGATAATAATGATGCTAATGCTGATGAGGAGAGAAGGAGGAGAAGGAGGAGGAGGAGAGGAGGGCAGGGGGTAGTGACGGCAGTCCAAAAGAGGCAAGTGTAGCATGCGTGTCAGCAGACGGTTTGACTTTGATTCTACCGGGTTCGTGGAAGCCTCAGGTTCCACGCCTGCGGCGCCGATGCAACGCCGACGTCGCCGGTGCATCGGCGATGCGGTGCCATTCTCGGACTCCATCTGCTCGGACCCCACATAGGAGGCCTCTAGATACCCAGGGCACGTCTCCGCGCCGGTGGAGCTGGATCGCTCCTGGGCGCGGAGCCTCCTTCTGTTCCTCCTGCTCCTCTGCTCGGCGATGCATCGGCAATGCGGTGCGTGCCCCGAGCCCCATCTACTCGGGCCCCAATCGAGAAGCCTTGGGTTAAGTCGGGCATGTCCCTGTACAGGAGGAGTGCTCATGAATTGTCAAAAATAGTCTGAGGGCGATGCTTCTATGATTTTTGACTGTTTTTGAAAAAACTTTGCCTATGGCTCATTTTCTTTTAACATCCGCCTGTAGGAGGACATGCCCGACCTAAGCCTTGGGGGGCCTCTACTCGACCCCAGAGCCTCGATCCTCGACGACGGCGGCGGCGGTGGCCGCAGAGGCTGCGCGGCGCGGGGCCACACCCTGGCGGGGGCGGCAGCCCCCTCGAGAGCTCGCGCGCGCGCGGGGGCGCGGAGGGAGGCGCCGTCTTCGTCGGGCGCGTCGTCGTGGAGATGGTGTTCTTCTGGAACAGGAGGGGGGGGGGGGGAGAGGGTCCCCGCCCGCCTCGCTCCTCCTCCTGCCTGCTCCTTCTCCTCCTCCTCCTGCCTCCTCCTCCTCCTCCTCCTCCTCATCCGCAACTCAGTCCAACCGAGCGATTAAGACTTCTCGAGTCTCACCGCAGATGGTAGAGCGAAGTCAACTCGGGGCTCCCAGGGAGGGCACGCCATTTTCATATCGTCCGTGCGCGCGCTACAGGTCGTACATATCGAATCATATCTTTGATGTGTTCAAATGCTTGACTCTCGACCCGAGGCCCGATGCAGCGACCGACCGACCGACCTCCTCCTCCTCCTCCTCCTCCTCCTCCCTTCGTCCTTCCCCGCCGTGGCGAAGGGTTCGGGCTACGCATTCCCAGCTGACCTCAACAGGCCCCCCGAGTAGTGCGGGCCGGTCTCCATCCCCTGGCGCCGCCTCCGGTAGCGCCCTTGGGTCGCTCCGCGCCCCAGGGTTGGGTGCTGATCGCCCCACTACTCGGGGGCCTGCTGAGGCCATGCGGGAGTACCTGGGGTGCTGTTTATACGAATCCCGAAGTCTCACCACTCCTGCCTCCTCCTGCCTACGTCCTCGCCCTCCGCCTCCTCTTCCATGCGAGAGGATGCCCCGGCTCGGCGGCTCGATGTGCCAGAGCGTTAATGAACTTGCTGCGTTCCCATAATATGCGCGGGCTCCGGTTAGTTTCGGCTGACTCGCGAGCCGCCTCCTATCGGCACCGCCCAAATCTACTTCATACTCTGTGCGCGTCGGTCCTGCAAAGGCGACGCCCACGCTGAGACATCTTATAGTATATACTCCGTGGCAGGCGCTTGCTGGCCATGCCGCGCGAAAAACGATATACCATAATATTTGTTCGGACGTGCGCTTTCAACATCAGCGCATAGTACTGGTATGTCCTTCTGCGTTCCATCATCTTCCCTACTCTTCATCCTCACTGTTCTCCAGCCTATCCCTCCTCCCTCGCCTGCTCGTCGTCGTCCTCAGGGCCCGCCGCTACTAGAGTCAGTGCTCCTCAATCCCCGATGCTCGTGGGCAAAACTTGGCATGCGGAGCAGAAGGGTCTTGGAGGAGGAGGAGGCCCCGCCGCTCGGGTGTTGCGCAGTGGGAGTGCATATGGGGGCGACAAACAAGCGACGGAAGAGAGCGGGGTCGTCGGCATCGGAGCATCTCCGACGGGGTCGTCTCCGCCGGCTTAAGCCGTTGTGGGGCCATTATTCCATTGCGTTGCCGAGAAATGCAGAAGTACTCAACGCGACGGTGGTGCCGAATTTGCTGTACAGCCTCAGCGCCGTATGCTTGAGCGCAGCTGAAAGGAGGAGACTCGACGGGGCAAATGCACGAATGCTCAAGGCAATCGCTGGCATCGAACACCCAATGGTCTCGCAGGTCTCCAACGACGAGGTACGGCAGAGAACGGGGCAAACACCAATCACAGACATGCTCTTGAAACATCACCTAATTCTCTATGCCAAGGCAGCCCAAGGGGCCGTGGGGGACCCGTTGAGGGATACCGTATTCTATTCCCGGACGCTGACGCCAGTGACGGACAGGTTCGTCGGGAAAGTTGGTGGACCCCGCTTGGAATGGGCAAAGCAGTTACATCCACATGCTGTTCGTGTCTGTGGAGAGGGAGGAGTACAATAATTATCAATGCGCAACGTTTTCGAGCACGCTAGAGCGCAATTTTTCCGTAGCGCCGAGGCGCCCTAGGGCGTATGGCTTTGCCTCTTGCTTCTTGCCTCTGGGCGCCGACATTGGCGCGTAAGCTGCCCAAGTGAGGTCGCGCGTAAGCGCCCTCGTCTTCAACGTAGGTGCCGCGCTGGCGGGCCGCGTACGCTGCCGCGTAAGGTCGCCACGTCATCTCGCGCAAGATCCGTTCTTTGTAGCTCCTAGGGGGGTGGGAGAACGGTACACTTTTTGTGCCCTAGACGGGGCCGCTAGCGAGAGGTGCACGTTTCTTGGCCCCCCCGTCTGCCCAGATCCCCGACATCGTGATTATGTCACAACGTCGACCCCCAGAGGTCGGGACCCCTTCCCCCGGGACCAGCTTCTCATCCTGAGTCGTTGTTTGACGGTCCCGAGACCCGGGAAGGGCCCCTGGAGGCCGAAAATGGTGAAAAACCTCCCGTCCAGATGTTTTCTCAGCGCGAGGGGGTCTGGTACCACCCCCACCCCCCCAGTCTGCAGCCCCCTCCTACTGCCCCTTCCCCCCCCCCCAGACGCGCAAACAGCCGGCCCTAAGGAAGTGGTCCAGACCTCTGGGGGCCCAGGCGGTGCAAAATTACGACGCCGGAGGCCGAGGTCATGCTCAACCCTTCCTCGTCCATCTCTGCCTGGTCCATACCTTTTCTTCCTTCCTCGTCCCCATCCTCTCTCCCCCCCCATTCGGCATCGCCCCAGACGCGGGTCTGCGCTGCCCGCCGGCGGGCAGGCAGATCCCCTGGGTGGAGGTCTTCGCGGAGGCCCCTTCGCTGAGGGGGGGCGGGATGGGGCGGTGGTGCGGCCCCCTCGGACGACGGTCGTCGTCGTCGTCGTCGTCGTCGTCGTCGTCGTCGTCGTCGTCCTCGTCCTCGTCGTCGTCGTCGTCGTCCTCGTCGTCGTCGTCGTCGTCGTCGTTCTCGTCGTTCTCGTCGTCGGCGACCTTGAGGAGTATGAGGCACCGACGGGCTGACCACGCTGGCGACGCGGTAGTGCCGCCCTTCCCTGGAGCTTCCCAAATATCGGCGGCGAGGCCGGGGGAAACGAAGAGCAAGTGGCGCTCCGCGCGGATTTCTCGGATCTGCGCTGGACCCATCTGGCAGCGCCTCCGTCGCTGCTCCGAGCGCGCTCCGCGCGCCAGAGCGAGGGGTCCAGCTCAGATCCAAGAAATCTGCGCGGACCGCCAAATGTGTATGCTTATGATTTTTGTTGCTCCTCTAACCCCGCCGCCCTTCTCTGGAACCTCCTAAATATCGGCGGCGAGCGGGGGGGGGAAGTGAGAAGGGGCGGGCCCTCTGAGAAGGCTCGGAAGCCCCCAGCCTTCTGAGAAGTTTTCTGAGCCTTCCTGGAAGGCGCGAGGGCTTCTGAGGAGCCCAGCCGCCTTCTGAGAAGGCCTTCTCCTTCTCGTTTCCCCCCCTCGCTCGCCGCCGGACGATGAGGAGGATCAGGCACCGATGGGCTGATCTCACTGGCGACGGGATCCTGCCGCCCCTCCCTGGAACCTCCCAGATACCCCCGCCATCATCGTCGTCATTGTGCTGGAGCCCCTAAGACTCCCTGGAGCCCCCGCGACCTCCTCCTCCTCCCGGACATCCTCCCCCCGTCCCTTCGGGAAACCACGAGCAGTTTGTAGGAAGCTCCTAATTACAGGTAGCGCGCATGGCAAGGATGAGTAACGCTCTCTGGAGCACCCTTCCACCAATGCTCCTTCGGACCAAAGCCAATCCTAAGCTCAGCAAGTTCTAACCTTGGCGATCAAGAGGTTTGCACCCTTACCACCGCGCATCCAGATCATAAGCAATGGCTCTGTTCGACAATCGCCAGAAATCGAAGACAGACACATTTCTCTCTGTCCTTCCCCCACTCAGCGCGCGATTTTGCGAGCTTGGAAGGAGGCTCAGCTGAGGCGTGCGCTGAGAAGGTGTGATCCTATAATTTGGTTGTCGGTGACATTATTATTAGTCTGCGACTCGGTGATGCGACATGTCCTTGTCGCTGCATGGCCAGGTGGTCATGCGTTTATGTTCAGAGAGTGATATGGGGATGGTAGAAATTATTCTTCTCCCAGGTCCAAGTTTCGACTTTGTCGCGAGTCGTCCTATGCTGTCTCAACAACAACCGTGAAGCGCCATGAAACGCCGTGTGCGCGTCAGAGTCAGAGGGCCGAACGGTATTACACCGTTCTTAGGTGCGCGGGTGATGTTGGGCTCCGTGGCCCCCATTCTGCTTGTTTGATGTTTGTTGTTGGTTGTCGTCGTCACCCCCCGCGACCCAGCTGCGACCCACCCGCAACCCACCCCGCGACCCTCCTCGCGACCCACCCCGCGACCCACCCCGCGCACGCACCCTCACTCGTATCCGCAATTGCGGGGTGCAGCGTGTTTCCTGCAATCTTCGCTCTGCAACATCGAAACAAGTGCATACGTATCGTCTCCTGGTGGTCTCTTCCTATCCTGTGTACCCGCAGTAGAACATGTCCGTGCCGTTTTCCTACGTTGGCGCTTACTTACCCAGTCAGCCACCGTGCCTGGCCAGCGCTGTCGTGGGTCGCCAGATTGTGTAAAGACCCTCCCGACATCGGCCACGACAGCGCTTTACACTAGGCCAGGGCCCAGGATGGCCCTGGCAAGGCGCGGCCTCTGTGTACAGACGCCTTCTACGTTTACACATGTACATCTTGTAATACATGTATACATGTATGTATGCATGCATGCATGCAGGTAGGTAGATAGTTAGGTTGGTTGGTACGCAGGTAGATAGGTGGGTATGTATACAGGTGTGTGTATGTGTGCATGTATGTATCTATGTACGTACGTATGTCTGCATATGTGTTTGTACGTGTGCATGGATGCATGCATGCATGTATTGATGGATGGACGGATGCATGCATGTACGTGTGTATTTGTGTATGCATGTCTGTATGTATGCATGTACAAAAGTATGCAGGCATGTAATGTAATGCAATGAAATGTATTGTAACGTAATGTAAGTTAATGTGTGTGTATGGATGTATGTATGTATGTATGTATGTGCATGTCTGTCTGTCTGTCTGTCTGTCTGTCTGTCTGTCTGTCTGTCTGTCTGTCTGTCTATCTATCTGTCTGTATGTATGTATGTATGTGTGCACGTATGTATGTATGCATGTATGTGTGTATGCATGTTTGTATGTATGTATGTATGCATGTATGTATGCTTGTACATGTATGTATATATGTATGTATACATGCATGCATGCGTGTATGTATGTATGCATGCATGCATGCATGTATGTATGTATACTTGTGTGCATGTATGTATGTATTATGCATGTATGTGTGTATGTATGTGTGCATGTATGTATGCTTGTATGTATATATGTGTGTATGTCTGTCTGTCTGTCTGTCTGTCTGTATGTATGTATGTATGTATGTATGCATGTATGTAGCTTGGTGGGATGTTTGTAGGTGTAGCAATTGAGTTATGCATTATCCTCAAATAACTACTTGATTATGTATCCAAATGTTTATTCATTTCTGTATACATTTGCCTCCCTTCACCCTGGACCGGCCGCCCAGGCTGGCGGCGTGATCCCGCTGTCCCTCGCCTCCATGGCCTACGGGGCCGCGGCGCGGCGCGGCAAGCCGACGGCCGCATCGGAGTTGCTGGTGGGCCCGCCCCCGCCTCCCGCGAAGTCGGCCGGCCAGCGCGGGAGTCGTCGCCACGCGGCCCACCCGGGCGCCCTCCCTCCAAGGCCGGGGCTTTAGCTGAACGCATCCGCCGCTTGGGGGGCCGATATCTTCTTTGGGGGATGGATGTATTCGGTAGCAAGTCATGGGAGCCTCGTATACCCTCGCAACTCCGTCTTTGGCGTCGACTGGCGTCGATTAGCGTCTGGGAGTTGATGACATAGCGCCGACTTAGCGTCGGCTAGCGTCGATTAGCGTCGACTTAGCGTCGATGAGCGTCGATTCAGCGTCGACTAGCGTCGGTTCGCAAGAGCCGACAACATGGTATGGGAGGCTCACACGAGTTGCCGCATTATTAGCGCGACTCCAATCGGGAGCGACTTAGGGGTTTTCTGGTCGCGCCGTCGTCAGCTCCCATGAATTTCGCGACCCTCCCTCTTCATTTTTTCCTGGTAAGTCCACGTCGTCGGTTTGGACGGTTCTTGAGTTTGATATTAATGATTGCCCTGTGATGTTGCCACCGAAGTTGCATTTGGGCCTCTGTGGGTCGCAGACACATCATGTGTCCTTGTCCGCCGCTTCCTGGGGCCTTCTTGGTGCCCCGGGTGGTGGACCTGTACAAGAAATCCGTGGGTCTCGGAAACGGCAGGGCTGTTTTTTCACCGTTCCCGAAAAAGTGCCTCTTGAAAAGGGAAACGGCAACAACAAAAACGGCGACCAGAAACGGCAAGCCAAGATGACGCCAGGACTGGAACGGAAGCTGGAACCGGCAAACAAAAACGACTTCGGGACCGGCCAAAGAACGGCAAAACGGGACAGGTGGAAAAACGGCCCTCACAAAAAGTCTGGTATCGCACGCGCCTGCCTCCCGAATTCCTGCTGTTTGTTCGACAAGAGCTCGGCCTCCAGAGGCCTCTTGGGGATCTCTGGGGGGCCCGGCGGCCTCCCGTCGTCGGGATCACAGGAGCGAGTGGTTATAGGCGAGAGGCGCCACAGCTGCGGCATGATGCTCCTGGAAAGGATATCGCTCCTTCCCAGAGGAGAGGCGAGGAGGAGGGAGGAAGA